TATCAACCAGCTGAGTGATGAATAGATGTTTATTGGACAGATGTACAAGTTGTAGTTTACTCTACGTAAACAGAATGTCTAGAATAATTCAGTAACTGGCTAGTAGTAGCTTGTTCACAAATACATCCTCATTTACTGTGTAATTTGTGTTAAAGGGCTATTAATATCTTATTTGCAAAAATAAATAATAATCATTTCAACTTAATAAAAAATTATTTTTGTTTTCTTTTGTATATTCAATAATAAAATTCCAAGTACTGTATATGTATTATAACGAGAAATGTTAAGTTTTATAAGCCAACAGAACGAATTTCGAAATCATAGGTTTCAAAAAATTATTATGAAGGTATGTACTTATGTAGTCTAGTCTAGCTTCGGTTAGTAAAAGGAGTTTGAATTTTTTTTCAACTGAATAGCAGCTATTCAGTTGAAAAAAAAATTCAAACTCCTAAGACCTCTTTGTTCAACACCAAAGAGGTTAAATACACTAATTACTTTTTGTTATTTTTAATAGTAATTTAAACAACTGAACATTTTTGTGTTTATTTTTAATTTTTACTTCTAATTAGCAAGAGAGCGAAGTTGTCTAAAAATAAATAAGGGTTTGTGTAAAAGACCTACAATATCCAACTACTTAATTCATGTGTCGGCCAACCTTTTTGGCATATTTTTACCTTAGGTAAATTATTATTCATAAGCCTACAGAAACTGTAGCTGAGGTCAAATGTCTTTACTTTCTTTCTGCTCTTTTTTATATTTTCTAAGAGAATGCCGTAATGAATAACCTAATTAAGATTTAATATGTTTCGACACACATGTGCTTTAGTTCATTTGCGTCCCTAAATCCGCTCTGTCGCAAAGAGCTCCTTCTGAGAATTCCAAAATATCCAAATCGCTTTCGTCTAATTGAAGCATTATTTTCTGTGTTCGTCCCTATTTTCGAATCATCCTCCATATAACATCAAGTTATTAAACATTTACATTTATTTCAATTTCCTCACAAACAATTCTCATGTTTGTCTGAACGAATTCCCGGCACTTTTCTCGCGGGTGACGTGTGAATGACGTCGGAGGGCTCCACGTCGTGACGTCACAGCCACCACCCAAAGAACGGGGGGAGACAGCTGCGTACTGCGTAAATGCGTCGTTTAAAAGTACCATGTACAATCGGTGAAAAAAGGTGCACAAAGCAACTTAAACCTTAGCTACGTTGGCATAGGTTTGAAGATTGTATTTCTAATATGGTTGGGTAGGTTAGGTCGTTCGGTTGTCATCTACACTCGTTAGCAAGATGGGCTTACGTAGCGAGGTAATAATAGGGAGACTTGGATTAATGTGAAGTACAAAGGACCTGAAGTCTAGCCACGTAGTCAGGTATTATAGTTCGTATAGTCTTGTTTATGTCCTAATTATTGAATGGGATTAGTTGACCGATAATTCCCTATTCAATGGAGCAATTAATTAGGACTGTATTGACATGTTATACGGCCAACTGAGCAGGTTTAATGTCTTGTGTTGATCTCATGATATTAACTCAGTATTAATGTATTGAATATTAAGCTGTAGGTATGATGTTTGATATTAATATGTGTATTGTTATTCGATTACTTGATATTGAAAATGACGTGGTATCATTTATACGAGAGTTGCTTGTATATATGTATATGTAAGTAAATAAGATTACCATTTTTTAGTGCCTTTAAAAAGAAGAGTATAGTATAAGAGCCCTTGGGATTTTTCCTTTGTCCTTGACACAGTGTGTAAGTTGGGTTATGGGTGGATTTACGAACATACAATTACACGTAGAAGAACCTTCAATTGGGTTGAACCCGCGACACGTTGATGCACTAGATATCGTGTTCACCGTACAAAAAAAAAAGCTTTATACTTTTTTTCTTTCGTTAAAGCTTAAAATAATAGCTAGCTTTAGACAAGAAATATTTTTCCCAAATGAAGAGAAAAGTTCTACCACCTTTGATCCAATTACATATACATATACATTCCTGCAGTTACCTGTGCATTTTATATGCCATTTCGGAAGTTATAAAAAGTTCATTCGGTAAGTGTGCTCACCCTAATTCCGGCTTATTGGCCAGTCCAATTGGCCGAAGTAATACTGACCTCATACCTTGAGTTGCTAGTAAATCCGAGGTAAAACCACAGTAAAAACTTGTATGTTTACAGGTTTATGTGCAGACTAGTTTTAGAAGTGAAATCAATATTTATGTTATTTTTTAAGCAGCAAAGTTTATACTGAAAGTCCCAAGTAAGAATTTTAAGGGGATTTGCTTAAATTCGTTGACTTAGGTCAACTAGGTAGATAGGTACTTATAAAAAAAAATTCAAGTAGCACTTCAGTCCGCGGTTACAGGTTAAGCGAAATTATGTACCACGGCCCAGGCCTGGAACGGGAGAAGAAACGGGGCGGTTTTAAGCCAGTAAGAGTCCGAAACTCCTTCTCGCCCCACTCAGGGCAAGAGAAGTAACACGATGAATGTCCCTCGTTAAAAAAAATACTTCAGTTTACCTTGAACCGAACTTGGGACTTATCTCAGCCTCATACTGGTAACAACCTACACACTAACCTATTAAAAACACAAGGAATATATTATGTAATAAAAATATTTTCGTTAAATCAACATAAGGCTTTTTTTAATAATTTTGTACGTACACACAATTGAAAGTATCGATGGCACTAATCATAAAATTTAATTTATTTTTTTATTTATTTAAAATATAGAACACACCTCTTCAATTTACTGCCACTAGTACAGACTGGCCATTTTTCGTGACGTTATGGAATTATAATAACTCAATTATGTAATAAAATAATTGACATAATGATTATAACAATACACTGATTAAAGCCCAAATTACACGTGAACGCCCACACACAAACACATATTATGTTATGAAAGTACATATATACTATACTATTGATAGATCAGTTAATCCTCTTCGGTGTTTGGCGGCGAATACGAAATTAGAGCTTTAATTACACCTACTTAGTTACAATTATTATAATATGTTTCATATAATTATTGAAAAATATACTTTTCGGGTTCTAAATTATAATACCATAAACATCTAATCTACCTGTTTTCCCAAAATGTTTACACATTGATAATATACCCCAATTGCGTTGTATATTTCTATTTTTAAGGCTTGCTAATTTGTGAAACTTAAAGATAAATTCGGCTCTAGTAATCGTACCTAGATTTTTAGCATAGCATCTTTACTTGCAAATAATAAGTCAATAAAGAAAAACATCTCTAATATAACCTTTAGATTTTATGAATCGAAATACTTTTTGTTTTTTTTATTATTAACAATGTATTGCTTTGTATTTTTAGACAATTGAACTTATAATTCATCACTCTATTTTCAAACGACACCTATTTTCCTTATTTTAGTGGTTCCTTAGTTCATAATAAGCAAAGAGAGTGTCGTAGCAAGTATCTATAAAAGCGTAGCACAAGGTCTACGCGGCTACGACGTAAGCCCACTACGTAGTAGCCCGCTACGAAACTGGTCGATATACATTTTCTTTCGACTGTGTTGTGATACTTAAAATAGATAGGTAGATTATTAGTTTGACCGCTTTTTTAGTATAGCCAGTCGAAAAGCTTTAAGTAGGTAGGAGTTTCTTTTCTCCTTCAAAAAATTGTGCTAAAAAATACAGTTTTGTCTCTAAATTGTTTAACAAGCCTAGATAGCCAGCCATTTATAAATTTCATATCAAAATATCCCTCGACTATATTGTTAGAACAACTGAAACTTAAATGGGTCATTCCTATGTACAAACATTATATTTTACTGGCTGGAAACTCGTAAAAATACATGTTGGATAAACACAGAGCGTTTGGGAACAAACCTGATTTATATTCAACACTAATCTAGCAACTGCGCCTCAGAAAATAATAACGTGAGAAGCAACGAAGCAACACCGCGTCACCCATTCAGTGTTGAGCGTAGGCGTCCACCCGCCACCCTCGCTCCATCTCACTCTCTCACACACCAGGACCGTATTCCCTTCTCTATCTGTCTGCCCACGCATTCATTCACCACCTACGTCCCATTCAAGTACGATATTGTATGTAGATAGCTCATCGGCTATTTGAATTATGTGCCAAGTTTCCTTCTTTTGCCGTTTGAAGGGAAATTATGTCCGCTGGGCATTATGTATGGGACGGGTTTGGGCACCAGTACTAATATATATTACTCAAGTTTGACATGTCATGTATTGTATTGTGTATGGTGTGATAAAAGCATTTTAATATGGTACTTGTTTTTCTTTATTGAAATGACTGCTGACCTAATAGGATTCAAAATAATATTGATTGTTTTCAATCACAAAATTGAAATCTTAGCCTAAAATCTTTATGTATTGTGTGATAAACATTACATAAATATCACTAATACATAGCCATATAATGTTCATCGTATATATTCTTCGGCTCGTGTCTACTAGGAAAACGTAAACCTGAAAATTTGCTGAGGTTCAATTTAAAATATTTGGTATAAGTGAAATTAGACTAACATTGAAATTACTTAGCCTGCGGCACGGCGGCCATTTCTTATACAGGCCGTAATCAATGTAAACAATCATACATTTATAAATTTTAATCACAAACGTCCTTCCTATGTCATTTTTATATATAATATAATTTATCTGATAATTGTAGATTCGATAATGTTTGTAAGATTATAATGTTTATATAAATTGTTAAATAATATTATTTTACAATTGTAAATTGAAATGTTTGTACTGGTAACTATAGTTACCACGAAACGTTTCATTAATTATAATTAATGAGATCGCAAATTCGGTTTGGAATGGGAAACGCAGTTAATTTGCGTGGGTTGTTGTGGGCGGGGTGGCCACGATAATTACTGCAACGATATTGACCACAAACTGATAAATAAATAGAACACAGTTGTGGTTTGAAATATTTTGTGCATAACATTATTTAGATCCTTTCTTTTGTGAGAGGAATCAAATGACCTCTCTTGCTCAGGATGAGGTAAGAGCGGTCACGTCAGGTCTGACTCTTATTGACTAAACCCTCATCCCGTTCCTTCTCCTGCTCGAGGCCAAGGCCGTACTAAAAGGTACCGTACCTCACCTCCAATTTCTTATACTCAACTACAAAAAGTCGGTTAGAGGTTTGTATTTCTTTTGGTGCTGTAGATACCAAGTGAGTCTGGTTGTTTGCCGACCTACCCCTTAGAAAAATCTGTGATGTTTCGATAGTTTAATCAGACTATTTATACATATAGTATCTATAGTATTTAGTTTCTATCAAGTGCGTCTTTCATTTCGTAATGGATAGGGATTTGGCCGCTATGACGCCTGGTTGTAATCGATGATGCGACCTACGATGGAGCATGCCTAAGCAAACTATTCACTCGGGACTACAAGGTTATATACTTCGGGAAACAAAGACCCCGGTAAAGAATTCCATCCTTCAGTGGTTCTGATTATAAAACTGGAGGCGAACCGCTTCTCGCATGTAGGTGGGATGTTCATCAAAAAATAATAAATGTAAAGTTATACTGAAATAAAAAAATATAATTCCTCGAAAGAAAACCATGTAGGTATATTAATTTTCAGTTTCCCCATACAAACTATGAGGCCGCATTTCTAAAATCCAAAAGATATTAACTAATACATTTTCGTGGTGATTTGAATATGCAAATGTGACGAACTAAATTTGTGGCTTGTACGTAATTATGTAAATAAGGGTACGTTCGACCGGCGTCTAGTTAATTAACCCTTTCATGTTAGGATTTTGGGAAAATATAATAAAAGTCTAACACGTGTGGTTATTTTCATTTACTTTGGATCTTATATGGGTATTTTAGAACCCTTTGATTCAATGATTGGGTTCAACTGCAAATTGTTTTGATGCCAACCCATCCGTTTTTACCCAAGGGATGAAACTTTTCCTACAGAACTTTGTATCCAATTTTATTTTCGGTTTTTGTTAGGATTTTTGTTCTATGTTGTAATAATGTATCTGTAAATGAGATGTACAATCAGTTAACTTTGAGTGTAAGAACGCAAAATTAAGTAATTAAGTAGTGTGCCTGAGATTGTCAGCTGATTGTTATCTGAATGTTATTAAGTTTCCTTAATTTATCGTAGGATTTAAGCAAAACATTTTAACTCGAACGACTACCGCTTAGTATCGTGGAGTCCCGAAGCTTAAAGCGCTTCTGTATGAGGAGGTGGGTTCAAAACCGGGCAAGAATCAATATGACTTTTTCTGTGTATAATGTAGGTTCTAAGTTCATTAATACACCACAAACATACGGTGAAGGAAAACATTGTGAGGAAACCTAGTCTTATAATTTCTTGCTACTTGCGCAACAGTGGGCACTTGTAGACTGATGATGATGATAGTATTATTATTATGGATTCGCACGGACACCGATATACATCTCTCCTTACGTAGTCATATACTATTTTCAAGGTCAAAGGTCGAATTTTCTATCTCCCTGTAATTACAGTGTCCCCTTGAAATAATAATTGTCGCCTTTTAGGGTTACATGGACCACAAAAAGGTCCGCAGAATGTGGTTGGATCCATTGTCTGGTCACACAAGCTCTGTTTTTGTTATTGTAATATAATTATAATGGGTTAAATTGCTTTGTTCGCTAAAGCAAATTAAATTGTCGCAAAAAACAATATTTTTTAATTACACACCCTCTACATTTTTTACGGCTCTTGAATTTTTCATTTATTGTTCTGTGTGAAAGCTTTAGTTTTCATTTAGGTTAGCAGCTTATGTTCTTTGTGAAAACTCGATTTTTGGCAATACATTTTACTAAATACCACATTTAGTATTTGGTTGTTGAAATTATAACATGATGTTTTAAAACGACATACAAAGAATTAATACACCGCTATCAATATTGCAGTCACAACACGTAATACGGACCTACCGCATTCATAAAACGGTTGTACTGCCAAAATCGATCCATTTGCAACCCACGCCTTACATTGCGCAATTGCAATGACCTTCGACCTTAACCTTGACCTCCGACATTATGCTACAACCCACACGCTACCGAAATACCAGAGTTCGGCACAACCCTCGATTCAAAACATAAACACAACATCCATAGCTGCATCTATGCGGGGACGTTCGGGAAAGTTCCGTTGTAAGGTAGAAATGATTGCGACGAGGTACGTATGAATTGCGCAGTTAGTTTGAGTAGGCGTTTTCATTCAGCTTTTGGTATCAAAGTGCAGTAAATTGTTACTGTTGCGAAGTTTTGACATGGTTTGCTTTGTATGTTTGAAAACCGCAATACAAGTTGTGTTCGTATATCCAGTGTGGGTTGTGCAACCGTTTCTACGCGGTTTTAGTTTTGATTGTGTTCAAATGTGGTACGTATTGTGGTGAACAGTTGCCCTGTGACGGCTTATGAGTTATGTGTGGGCAACGCTTTATATCTTACTATCTGAGTAAAGGCATTTATTTCTATATTATATTAGATGTTAAAATGGTCTAGCTATCCACGTGTACCTATGCCAACGTTAACCATATGCTAATCTAGGTTAAGCACTGGATTTGACGTTTACACAGCGCTGCTGGTTTTCATGCATACTTTGAAGTCCAAAACCGATTTTAACAAAACTTTGTACTCGAATGAAATAAATAAAGGGGTAAAACATTAGTTAATTAAATAGTTTTTTTACACAGAGTTTAAACAGAGAGATCGAGGCAACTTGAAATTTCCATACAGACTTAAAATCACGTTTAATTAAGTTTTTAGACATTAATTTATTACGTATTAGTAAAAAGTTTCATTAAAATCGGTTCAGTGGTTTCTATGATTTTTTATTTTAAAGAATGTGTGGCAACGCGGGCCGCTAAATACGGTTAATACTGGAACAAAAACGTTGAACTTTAAATAGTTACTACAAACTAAGCAAATACTAAAATGTTGCCATCCTCAAATAATACTCTTTTAAAAAATGATGCGTCTTTTGTTCCTTTAACATTTTGATAGACACGATTACTTAAGTTACATAAAAGAGTATTTAGGGCGAGGACGTCGTTAACTTAGCACTAGACTTGGGGTAAATTGGACTTTATTACAAGTCCAAGACTGAGCATTTTTATGACAATCTCTGCCCCATTTCAGGGTGTATTAAAATATGGTGAATTTATTTTTTTAACGAAATGTAATCTCTTAAATAATAACTAAACAAAATAATTAAGTCATAGTAGGTAAATCGAAATAACTAGTACTCAATATGTAATAATATAATTATTTAGACACCACTGACACGGTGAATGAAAATACACTAAGAAAGTCTTGACTATTATTTCAAGTTATAAGTTTGAAATCGCCAATCCGCCATGGGCAAGTGTGGTGATTAATCTGCAAACCTTCCGGCATGAGACGAGGTCTTTGTTAAGTTGTGAACACATATGATCGTACGGCGCGTAGCGTTCCGCGCGCGCCTCAAACCCGAGCGTACGGCGCGTAGCGTTCCGCGCGCGCCTCAAAGAGCCAATAGACCACCACAGACGGGGCCCTAAAGGGCTGATGTTCAGCCGGGGTTGCGGGGTAAGCGCAATGAGGTACCGCGACCTCGGCACAGAGCAGGAGAAGGAACAGGGGGGTTTTTAGTCAGTAAGAGTCTGACACTCCCTCCTGCCCGGCCCTGGGCGGGAGAAGTCATTTGATGATTTTCCCCTCACAAAAAAAAAAAAAAAAATATGATTTTAAATCTCTCAAATAAGGTTACAACAATGGAAAATAAAGTAATTGTTTGTGATGTAGGTTATTATAATTAATTGTTATAACAATAAAGATAAAACCTTCCACTATAATACCTTTGAGATTTAACATAAAGCTTCTATATTCATGATTGGTCGATAAAGACACCCACACGTGCTAACTTCCTAGAAAATCCTTTTTAAAAAGCGTCCCCAACTACTTTCGTTGCTCGCATTATTTTACGTAATACGGGACAACTTTTCGCCTCTGTCCGTCGTCCACAAGCTACCTGAATGTTTCGCTTCGGCCTTTTGTTTCATTTTACAAAACACTCTACTCGCCTGCATAATGGATTAATTCCACAACAAAATTGTTCGTACCTAACTAATTACGTCGACATTTAAAACTATTTTTAAGTCGAGCTATTTTTAAACTAATGGAAATTGCATTTTGTACAAAGAATCTTTTTAATTTTAATCTTCAGGTTTGTGCTGGAAATGAAAGAGACATTTTACCTGTACATTTAAATTTTATTTTTTGTTCTTTAATTAAGTGAGAAGTGCTTTCTTTGCTCTGGTGGGTGTTATAAGTATTTAAAGTACACTGTAGAGAATATTACGGATAAAAGGACCATTTTGAAGTGAGTTCTCAATTTTAGCATTTTTAGGTTTAAGAAACACAAACTTTTCTTTTGCTGCTGCCCCGGGTGGAAGGGAAGGGTGTCTTAGACTCTTACTGATAAAAACCACACAATTCCTGCTCCTGCTCCGAGAAGGAGCCGCAGTACTGACTAGGGTATTTTTAAAGAAAAATAGATTACAAAAAAATGCCTTTTAAAGATATTAATAGCATGATATTAAACTGAGTTGTTTTATTTTATCAAATTAATTCGTATACATATATTATGACGTCACGTAAGTTATGATAATTAACACATGTATTTTGAGTTGACTGTCATTTTAATCCAAAAGCTATAAATAAATATGCACGTGTTATTCAAATTGAAACATTAAAATTATACACAGAAGTATTGTACTTCTGTGTATAATTTACTTCAACAAGACGTTAAACACGAACGAATGTGTTCAAACGTTTTTTGGCGGTCGCCTGTTACATGATTTCCTTGTTACAAAGCTCTTTGTTTAGTAAAAAGCTTGTAATAATTATTTATAATAGTAATAGCAATTACAAAAACATGTTTCCTATTGTTTTAACTTGTTTCGGAAGTCAATTATTATTATTATTTTACGGTTGATCGAAGGTTGTGTTGTATATGATTGGTATCGGAATTTTTAAATGGAATTGTTATTATTTTTGTTTGTTTTTTTTGATGAATGACGTCTGTAATGTGCCTGTAGATAGTATTGTGTTGGTTGAAATGAGGACATTTTAGTCGTTGATGAGTTATTTTTAAGTCGAATTTGTCAAATTCTATCGTATATGGTTGACCCACACTAGCGTTTTCTGCTGTATCTTGGGCGTTGGGTACAGACCATTCGAACAGGTACAACAGCTGTTGGATCCAAACAAAAAATTCTTCCATGTTTTGGTCCAACCTGCGAGTCTGCGGCCAGTAGACGCTCGTTTAGCTAATGTGCCAACTGTACAACCGTATCCAATTTATATCAGATCAAAAACATCAATACCAATGAAGCAAATAAAAACAGACATATAAAGAGACGAAATGAAAGAAAACAATTAAATAGTAGCTGAGTACGTATTTCAACAATGTCGCTATCCCTATCAAATAATTGTTTTCTCAAAACAAAAGAAAGAGATGGACGTAACTCTGTCAGGATAGGTCTTAGTTTATTTTTTTATGTAACAACCGAGGATTTTCTTTCGTTTTATAAACACGATTACTTATTATACCGGGGAGGTATTCTCCGCTATTCTATTATTAATTAACCTTGGAACTCTGAATTGTTGAAGGTGAAATTTAATCTGAGCTCAGCCTCTGGGGCGGTAATATACTGCGCATATTTTTGGTACCATTGTGAGAAATTGACAGATACAGGTATTGTGCGTACCTATTTTTAAATTGTATGTGTGTGTGTGTAGGTAGGCTTCCTTTTTCAAAAAGTTCAAAATAACTTAAGTTCATTTTATTTCAAATATTATTTTATAATTCCATGTCTAAGTTTCTTTTAGAAAATTCTATTGAAAAGGTCTGGAAGAAATTGGGTTGTGTATTAAGATCGTTCATTTTACACATTTTCAATTGTATCCCACATATATTTTTTACGAATGTGTGCAAGAAAGTATTTTACATAAATTTTAAAATAAAATTATCGATGCATCGAAGGGACTCATAGGAATTGATATACATAACAGAAAACCTGAAGTCTGCATATCAGCGTACACTTAATTTTTCGCTTGATAGTCCGGTAGTTATAAGGTTCTTCTAAGAAAATTTTCTAGTTAGCTAAATCTTTAAAAAATTTGTGTTAAATCGACACGATATCGATGCCCATTTTTACAACTTCAGAATAACGCCGTAATAAAGGTTTCCACAAAAAATCAGCTCACTAGGACTTTCTTCCCAGATTGGCCTAGATTTTAAAATGCCTAAAATTACTGGACTATAACTAATTAAATTCTACTGTAGTAACGCACAAAGTGTTTGCCAGCTTTAATGATTAAATCTAAAGCACGCTGTCTGAGCAAAAATCTTTAAAATTATTTAGAACAGCATAAATATTGTTAGAAGATATAAATTACCTAATTACATCATAAATTATCACAAAACTACTGCGCAATATTTTTACAACAATTTAATATAAATTTCTACCAAACTTTTCTACTAAATTACTAATCTACGTAATTTTGTTACAGGTAACATTGAATATTCATCTATGGTGCTCGACATTGAGAATATGAACGGTTCTAGAAGACAGGTAAACTAATTGTATCAAACTGCTAACTGGCCTTTTACTTTCAACGAATTTAAATTAAGTAATTTTTTAATTAAGTTCTACGCTTCCAAAGTTTTACGTAAAGCGAATTAGGTTAGAAGGTGACTCGGGGAGTTATGGAAAGGTACCTCGGCGCTGGGGGAGATGCTAAATTTAGTCCTTGGAAATTCTAAAGCTGTTTTTTTTAAACTTGATTTATGTATTTGGTAGGTAAAGATATTTTGCGAAATTATCCTTTGAAGTTATGAATAGATTTGGTTTTTTTGTAGCAATTGGTCAGGACATGTGCAGGCCTACCTATCGCTTGTTTGCTCTGCTAAGGATCGAGGAGTTACAAGTGCGTTTCCAGCATTTCGGTAGTTAGGAATTTGAGGACTCAAGGATTTAAGAATTCATTTATTTCGGGATTGGGGATGGATGGAAGGAAAGGATTGCCTAGGATGGCTTGTGGTAACCTCAGTAACACGGTGAAAGAGCCGTGGAATCATAACCTTATTAATTTCAATGTTATTCCTATTCTAATCCCGTTCCTGCAGCGTATTAAAATGATTGATTATTTAAATTAAATCAATTTGACTTGATTGTTTAGTAAGCGCAGTGACCATGTGACTGCCTACTTCTTAAATGTCGCGGTTACATTCCCTACACAAATTTCTTCTTTGTGTGTTAAATTGTAATTGTGGGTTTCACTGTGATGTGTGTGTGTGTGTGTTAAATTGTGTCTTTAGAAGTTTACTGTATGGCAACATTTTATTCAAAATCAACTACTTTTCTAATAGTTCTGTTATTATGTTACAAAGTTATTTACATCTAAATACTTAATCATCTAAATTAATTTATCAGTGACTTGTAAACGTGAGTAGGCAGGCAGTTCTTTACATTCGATGATGTCATCCGCTGTTTTATTGTAGTCTTTATGATCATTTTCGTTGACATGTGAGGTAAGGGTGATGGCTGCTTTTTGAGGGGAGAAAATCATCAAGTGTCAAAGTCAAAGTCAAAGTCAAAAGCATTTATTTCAATTAGACCCATACAGGCACTTTTGAACGTCAAACAAAATTTTAAATATAAAAAGTGTCAGTCTGTCGGTCAGTCCTCTTAGTGAAGCTATTTGCTCGTTCCAAAGTGTAGATTCCGATGGAGAAGAATGAGGAAGAAACTCCATGGTTACTCTTTTAAAATCAGTGTCACATAAAGATTCTTCGATACATTATTTAGTTGGTTGTTATTTAGTTGGTTGTCAAACTCTTACTGACTCCACACTTCTGACACCACCGTGTTTCTTTTCTTGCTCGAGGTCGAGGTCACAGAAAATTCTTGCACTTGCATCACAGAAAGGGCTGAAGAAGCAATGGATGTAAAAAAATCTTTACCAGGATCAATGATAGTTTTATATGTTCAATTCTCAAATTGAGAAAAGTGTCTTAGAATGGCTTTTCGTTCTACTTTTTGTTAGTTAATTTTATAATAATATGTGTAGGTATCGATATGGTAAAGGAACTTCAAGACTATTTCGAAAATAAGTAACTTCACTCTAAAATTGTAGGTGAAAACTTTAAAATACATTTTCTATTAAAATCACCTTTTAATCTCTTTTTTTAATGCAACTTGTAATTAAACCAGAACAACATATATAGGTAATTATTTCACAGTGAAAAAGTTGTGCCTCCTCGTTCAATTACGGAATTATCATAATTAAAAAAAATACAAAAGTAAATAAAAAAAGATAATAAGATGATATGAAATATATAAACAACATATATTATGACCTATATATACATATGTATAAACAAATTTAACATTCCCTTTTTAAAAATAATATCTAATTGTGTGCCCACAATAGAGGTTTTATCAGCACAAAATTGATAAAACGGTTAAAAATAATACAATTTATGTTTGTGCAATACATAATATAATTATGTAACACATAGTACAAATACAGATATGATTATGTATATTATCACATTGAACGTCATCAAGAGGAAAACGCTCGGCATCTTTCTTTGCGCTCGGTCGCTGCCGCCGAACACTTCCCTGAAGACGCAGCCCGAGCAAAGCACACCGCCACCGTATATTCCTCTGAATAATAGACCCAGACCTGTATTAGCAATTTTTGTATCAAGCGAATAGAGGTTCCGTGCGGGACCCACAACGCGTAATTCGTTGCGACGCAGTCACTGTAACCTAGCCACTTCCCAGGGGTGCAAGTTTAACAATGTACCGCAGCCCAAGTTCGAAGCAGAACAAAGAATGGGTTGGTATTTAGTCAGTAAGAGTCTGACACTCTCTCGATTATTATCCTCCTCAAAAAAGCCCAGCCACTCCGCCAACCATACAGTCACGGACTACTAAAACTATCAATAGATTATACCCACCAAATATTTTGGCTCCAAAATTAAACTAAAATCAGTAATAAATATGGCGCCGGTCCTCGTGATCCTACTATAATAGTATTACAATAAATATTTGGCCAAGTTTCTGGAACTTTGTACTGAACATGCATTCACTTGCTACTCAGCTGACTAATCTGCAAATAACCATTATAAATTCTATGTAACCATCCATACAATTACAATAGACCAACCTAATTAGACCCTCTTCTCGTTGAACAAATAGGAACACAGCCAAACCACATAACAGAAAAGGTAGAGATCAATTTACATTGGCCTAATTTTTTTTCTAGGTATCTGGCAAATCGCCCGTTTGCTTTCAAAATTAGAGCGTCCTATCTCAACTCGTTTGTTTTAGCAATTTGAACTGTTTATTGATGATGTAAGATTTATTTTTGTACGACATAGATGAGAGAAACGTGATTTTGCATGCAACAGTTGTTCACGTGGCTTGGCGCCTACAACAATCGGTATTTTCTTTAGTAATTTAGTGCAGTCATTTGTTCAGGAAAATTTTCACTCATTATTATTATATTTGTTTTTATAATAACTATCGTGAGACATACTAAATTAACTAAAATTCGCGGGTTACTCACGTGTAAATGTTGAGAAAAGCTCTACTAGTTCCGAACCACAGAGGGGTTCTTCCTCATGAGCAGCGTGCGCGGACGCGGAGCTTTTCTCAACATTTACACGTGAGTAACCCGCGAATTTTAGTTAATTATTATATTTGTTCAATAAGAAATTGGCTTAAATGCTAACTTAATATTTTTTGTAGCACTTACAATTCAGCATATACCTATATATAGCTCAGCATATACATACATAGGTAGATAGCTGATATATATTAAATTAAAAATATACGACTAGGTACTCCAACTTGCTTTTTAAAGTAAATTGTAATCTATTGATTAGTTATTACTACAGTACATATCAATGTAGTGAGCAATGCAATTATGAGAATCTTTAGATGCGTATCAAAAATGACGTGTTATTATGCATTGTGATAAGTGCATTATTGCCATATGACCGTTGATAAGACAAATCGAGTAATATTTTTCCTTAATTCGTATACAGTAATTAGTTGATTAAGTAAGATATAATAGCCAAATACGAAATACACGGAAAGCCATGCTTCGGCCCGAACGGGCTGACTCAACCGAAGTGATACTACGGCCTCACAGAATACCGGCGATAATAGCACCACTTACATTGTATATCGCCGTGGAAGTGAAGTTATCGAAGGAATCCCAATCCTTCCACTCCTATCGTCAATCCTAAAATCCCCTATCCTTTAATCCCTTATAATCCACAAGAGGCCGGCAACACACTTATAGTAACTCCTTTGGTATTACGAGTGTCGAAGAGGCGGCTACGATTGCCTTCCAATCAGTTTTCCCATTTGCTGACATAATATGCCATAAAAAAATCAGACTGATCTAAACAAAAGCTTTTCCTATTCAAAAACAAAATAACGGTTTACAGACAGTTTGTGAAGTAACAATATACTTAGTACCTAATTACATATAAGTTTAAACACAATATAAAACACAGAACAATTGCCAAAAAAACCTGTAGGGTCAACATTCTTTTTAAATAAGTTTTTTTCACATGGTAACTATAGAATTACAGTAACCCTTGAGAATGAGGGCGTACTATTACTTTGGTCCTTTGGTCCACACGAAAGTGGTCCTTTCGTGTTCACTTTCATAGTAATTCTGCACTACATACAAGGTCTTACGTGCCACAAATTAAAATTACCTCTATATCAGGTTTGTTAAGGAGCAAATTTGTTCAAAAGGACCCAAGGCCGTTTTTTAATTAAATGATCTTTTCATTGTTATTTTTAAATTCGATGCTGAGTGCTACATTCATAATCAAATTAATTTATTGTTATTTAATTGATTAATTTGCGTAATAAATTGTTTGGTTGCCTTCCATTTTCTAGTTCCTTATTTAAATTAAACTGATCTTTTAAATTGTAACTGTGGTATTCTATATTTAAATGTAACTGACACGTACAAGTTACGATGTTGACAGATTAAAATATCAATGAAACTTTTTTTTATTGTTTTGGTTTTCTTTGTTCACTTTGAAGCCGTATTTAATGTTTTACACCTTGTTTAAGAGAATTTTTTATGATTATATTTATTTTTAACTGTATATATATATCTTTCATACATATGGGTTCTCACCTCTACTTAAACCTTCGAAAAACAGGTTTATTGTTACACGATGTTTTATGTAGGTACCTAAGTTAAGGTCAGTGACCAGCACATAATATAACGTATCTATTTCTGTCCCCACGTTTATTTATTTATTTATTTATTTATTTATTTGAGACTTCATGCACAAAACATTGTACATAGGCGGACTTAATGCAATGAGCATTCTCTACCAGTCTATTCTATCAGTTTATGTATGTATAAAATAGTTTTTACGTTAATATCGAAGTAACATTACAAAACTTTTATATTGACGAACTGGCTAGATGAATGACATAATAATCGATAATTTATTTTTGAAATTACTGTTAGTAAGTTTTGTCAAACTCCTATTATTTAGGGTATTCTATGATAATATGGTACCTTA